GGTTCCCAGGTGACGCTGATGTGGCTGGTCCAGGGACCACACTTAGAGAATTACTGCTCCAAGTAACAAAAGCATAGGGATTTTGTTTTATTTTGGTGAGGAAGATTGGCCCTGAGCTAACATCTGTGCCAATCTTCCTCCACTTTGTATGTGGGATGTCACCACAGGATGGCCCGATGAGAAGTGTATAGATAGGTTCACACCTGGGATCTGAACCCTGGGCTGCCAAAGGAGAGTGTGTAAACTTAACCACTACACCACCAGGCCAGCCCCAGGGTTTTTTTTTTTAAATGCATGTATTTCTAAGGTTTTACTAAGACACAATGGCCTATTTCCCATTAAGTCCAAATTAGGGAGGATTTATTGGTTTTAAAACTCCACACATTCGTCTTTAAGATTATGCTCTTTTTAAAATTTCACATTGCTTAGCAGCAGCTCCACTGTCACTTTCTGACCCTCAGCGTTTCGTGTTAGTTCAGCTTCATAAAGCAGACTTCTGTTTCTGCTTCTGCTTCATTTTCTGGCATTTTACATAACAGGCAGTTTCCCTCTGGTCTTCCTCCGCTTTCCCTGTATTTTTCTATTATGTTCAACAGATCAAGCTTCATTACCCATGAAAGTGTGACCTGCTTTTATCAAATGCTATCTGGCTTCCCACATCTTCTAAAATAGTAAATAGTGATCTAATTCTTTCCCCAAAAGGCCACACTGAGCCCACCGTGCCCAGGGGCCCATTAGGTTTCGAAGCAGCCGCATTCAATTCCTGATTAATTTTATTTGATTTTATATACTTGAAGCTTCAGCCTTTAGATCCCACTAGGAAAAGCACCAGCATATGGAAATGCATATAAAATGACATGCAAAGCAATGCAAAGTAATACACAACATACATCTCTAAATTGCTGGGGAAAAGCCTGTAAGCCTCGACGTGGATAGTATCTGTTTTGCTTGTCCACACTCTGGCCAGCAGTGACCAGTCCTTTTATTACAGTTCATTTCATACAGCATCCAGCACCTGACACTTGTCCACGTGCTCAGTGAAAGGCGCCACTGCCTGTGAGTCAGGCAATTGGGATCCTAGCCCTAACTCTGCCACTGTTGGCATCTATGGCCTTGGCTAGGTTCTCAAAATTCTCTGGTTCTCAGATCCTACATCTGGAAATGATGAGAACAACATCATCGTAATAAACCCACCAGCGCAAAGGCTTACTGAGCACTCACTACACGGGAGGCATAATGCACACATTTTGCATACACGATGCTCACATGCACACCGTGTGCATACACGATGCTCACATGCACACCGTGTGCATACACGATGCTCACATGCACACCTTGTGCATACACGATGCACACATGCACACCTTGTGCATACACGATGCTCACATGCACACCGTGTGCATACACGATGCTCACATGCACACCTTGTGCATACACGATGCACACATGCACACCGTGTGCATTCGTGATGCACACATGAAACATTAAATTTGCATGATCTGTGAAGTAAACATTCAAATTTCACAGTCATATGTACTTCAAAATAGTGTTTCCGCAACACGTTGATAGTTTATGTTATATGAGTTTGATATCAAAAGCACAATCTGACTTTTTTACCTAACACTCCAGGAGTGGGAGGGGGAGCTCCAGATGCTCTGTACACTTGCCTCTCCGCCCACTCACTGCCTCCCATTCGCATACGGATCCGGATCTGGATCCGGGTGAGGCTCTCTCACCTTAAAAATACCACCCTCTGTCGCACCTCTCACTTCAGAGGCGGCTTCCAGGCAGTTAAGAGCGGCAGCCACTGCCAGTCCTCAGCCCCCTAGCGCGTGCACGTGCGCATGCACACACACGCACCACGCAGGGCGCTCACTCCCGCGGCGACCCTGCTGGAGACCCAGCCCCGTCCTGGTCTTCCTCCCACCTCTCCCAGGAGGCAGGGACTCTGTTCCAGCTCAACGCCCGTCTCCGCGTCCACCGCAGGCTTTAAATAGCACCCGGTACAGATGACCCCAGCTATTTTGCAGGGTCAGCCAGGGTCTGCTCTATCCAGCCATCGGTTAAGTATTTCCACTGGGAGCCTCGGGAGCCGCTCAGGCTCGACCAAACCAATTAGTCTTTCCTCCCCAAATGCGCCCCTGCTCCAGCGCTCCTTCGCCCCCGTGCCCTCAAGCGCACAGGCCAAATGAAGGGGAGTCACCTGCACACCCTGCACAGAACCAGTCACCAGGTGACTCAGAGCCTGCCAGAACCCAAGCACTGTGTCCTCCCCGCTGCCCTCTCTTAGCCGAGACCCCCAGGCCTCTGCGGCCCTCGGAACCAGCCCCGTCCGCCTTAGGGGCTCCTCAGGTCCCTTCTCCACACAGCCACCGGACTTGTTTTGTTTTGAATCTAAATCTCATCAGGATCCCTTCAGGTGTGAAACTGTCCTGAAGATCAATTCCACAGAGTGGCCCCAAGGCCTGGCATCATGTGGCCGGGTCCCTGCTCGCCTCACCTGCTGCCAGCCTGCCCTCAGGTCCCACGCCCTCTCCTGTCCCTGGACTCTCCCTGCTCTCCCCGCTCTGTCTCAGGGCACACTGCTCCCTGGGGCGAGAATCCCCTCTCTCTCCCTCCTCCCCCCACTCTGTTAGGCAGCTCTAACTCATCCTCCGGGTCCACCTTAAACGTCCCCAAGAAGGCCTCCTGCCCCAGCACCCAGGACGGGGCTGGCACATAGCAAGTGCTCAATAAACTTAGACTGCTGCACTGACTGGTCAACCCTGCGTCGCAAAATCTTACTGCCTGCTGCCTTCCTCCCGGCTTCTGGCCTACGAGGGAAATCCCTTGAAGCTGACACACTCTTACTTCCAGTATGTGGTGCTATGATAAGCCCCAGATCACCAAGTCACAGTCGCAGCACCAGAGGCTCCAGATGTCCGTGATTCTTGAGGGAGAGAGCAGAAACTGGGCACTGTCACATACCGTCTCTATCCCGCCCCCCAATGACCTGAGTTCACTGCAAGTCAGTACCCTGTCCTGAGGGTACTTAGCACTGCACACCAACTTGGCCATCAAGTGCCAACTTTGACTTATTGCCCAACTATGCCATTCACCCCTACCTACCTCCGACCAAACGATGTGGCATTTAGCAAATTACTATAAACTTTGTCCCTCAAAGGAATGGTACAAGCCATAAACAGGAGGGAACCTCTCCCCTACTCCCAAAGGAAACTCTCCTTTAGTCTCCCGGGGGGGGGGGGGGGGGGGGAGGCATTCAGAGCCACACAACCCGATTCTTTGGCTGCTGCTTCTCTCCAACTATAAGTAAAGGATGATTCAACTGCATCTGAATTGTCACTTCTCACAGAGAACTGGACCCTGGAATGGGCAACATAGGAACTGCTGTCTGCAATAATTCACTTACTTTTAAAGATTTTACTTCAAGACGCTATCAATAAAAGCTGTCAGAGAGACAGGTCCTAGAAAGACTTAGGCTGCCAGTTTAATAATAAGGGCGCGCTTTATGCGTGTAAGATCGAAAGGGGTGACCTCCTTGTCCGCCAAAGCACATGGACACTTGAATTAACACTCCCCCACCTCCTTTAGTCTTCTGGTTGGTTGCGTTTCAATTTTAAGGACAAGAAAAGGAAAGACACTTGCCTCGGGGTAACGCCACCTCTCCGCTTGCCCAGCGAGGGGGCGACACACAAGTTTCCCCGCCGCAGAGACGACGCGGACGCCTCCCCCGCGCCGGAGATTCACAAAACAGCGCCCACTCGCTCGCCGCGTTAGCCTGACGGCGGGCTGAACGCGACCGACTCGCCGCCTCTCGGATCGGATCCCAGTCCGCCGGCGACGAATACCCGACCTTAAAAAGCGCGCAAGCTCGTCCCAGCGGAGGGCGCGGCCGGGAGGTCCGTCCGTCCCGCAGCGGCCGATCCCCAAACTGTTAAGAGACCCCCGTCTCATCCAAATGCAGAAGCCACAGCAGCAGCCCGTCCAGTGCCGCGTCCCTCTGCCGCCCGCCCGCCTCCGCCGCGCAGGGGCGGGGACGCCCAGGACCCGGTCCCGGGCGCGCGGCGGGCGGGTCCAGGGCTGCGGGGAGGCGGGCGGGTGGGCGGCCCGGAGGAGCGGGCCCCGGAGGACCCCGCCTGGGAAAGAGCGCCGCGCTCTCTCCGCGGGGAGATCCCGGGGAACCCTGCGGCACCGCGCGCGGCTCCCGGCCCCCGCTCTGCTCTGCCCGGGAGCCGGGGTGCGGGCGCCGCACCCGCATCGGCCAGGACACCCTGCGGGACACCCGCGCCAGCGCCGCCCTCCTTCGCAGCGCGGACCTCAGGAACTTTCCAGCGGCCGGCCGCGCGCGGGGCCCCCGCCTTGTGGCATCCGCTTGGCTCACCGCGGGGTCCCCGACTCCGCGCGCCCCTGCCCCCTCCCCGCCAGGACGCTGCGCCCGAGTTTCCCCGGCGGGAAAGTGAAAGTCGCCAGGAGGAGAGGGTCCCGGCGCCCCGGCCACCCCGCGCTGAAAGGAGCCCAGCGCCCGACCCGGGCGCCCCCGCGGGCCTGCGTGGCCAAGTCGACTTACGAAAGGGAGCGCGGGGTCCCCGCGGCTGCAGAGGCCGCCCCGGCAGGGCCGCGAGCTGCGCCCCCGGCTCCGGCCCCCGCCTCCCGCCGCTCCTCGGCCACCCTCGGCGCGCGCCCTGCGAGGAGTTGCGCTCCTGCGCGGGGCTGGCAGAGCGCCGAGCGCCCCCGTGACGCGGACGGGGGAGGAGGAGCGCCGCTGCCGCACGCCCGCAGAGGGAGCTCCCCGCTCCTGCGCGCCGGGTCCCCTCCGCGCGGGGACGCAGCCCCGAGGCGCGTGGCCGCCCCGCTCCGGCCGAGCTGCCGGGCTCTCCGCTGTGCGCTGAGCGTCATCCAGGTTCGGTTCCCTCCCCGCATTAAACAGACAAGAAACCCGAGGGCTGGAGAGCTGCGACTTGCCTGAAGTCGCTCAGAGGGCGGTGACAAAGCAAACTCACCTCTGCGACTCTGCTTCCCCCGAAGGCCGGGCGCTGTGAGGCTCCGGCCCCGCAGGATGGCCTCGCTGCCTTTGGTAAGACAGTGTCCCACGGAGCCTGGAGAAATACCATCCAGGAGGAGCGTGGGAAGGGGGAGCCTTATGCCGGATAAATAGGGTACAAAGTTGTTTTTCAATCAGTGCCCACCTGCCAGCCCACACACTAAGGCTTCCTCTTCACCCTCGAGAGGGGGCGAGCGTGGCTGGCCATGCGGGCGCAGTATCCGGCCCGAATCCTGCTCACCCAATAATTGCAGAGAGGCAAGCACACACCTACTTAACCATTGGGCAACATCCAGGACTCGCTTCGTAGTGGGTTCTTGTGAATATGCTAATTTGTGAGGTGGATGCTCTCCACTGTGCTTGCACTTCCAGGCCTTCCAGAAGTCTCTGGGGGCGCACCAGGGCCTTTTGGGGCCAGAGGCTCCCAGGGCCTGCTTTATAGGGCAGGGCGCTCAGGGCGGGGAAATCCCTCCCGGTTTCCTCTTTCCTTCCTCTGTCAATCTGTGTTGCCTGAGGGCCTTGTCTGGCTGGCCGGTTGGTGGGGAGCCGGGCAGGGCTGGGTGGAACCGGTTAGGCCCTGAGACCCAGTGAATCCCAAAGAGGGACTGCCACATGGGACCCCACGTCCTTTACTCCCGGGACCTGGAGTCTGTCCAGGGTAGCAGAGACTCTGAAACTACTCTGTCTTTAAAAAATTCCCTGTGCTGGGGGAGCAAGTATTTAATATCCATTTTGCAGACTTACTTTCAAGCAAATGGGTGGCTTTGCACTCATCTCCTTCTCCCCGGGTATCCTCTTTCTGGAAGAGTCATTAAATGTCGCATAATTCACCCTTCTGGTCTCCTTCGTCTGCACATGATGGTGAGGATGACGCTGATAAAAACAACTAAGGGTTCTATTATCCATCTTAGGCGCTGTTCTAAGCAATTTATGCAGATTACCTCTTTCGATTCTCACAACCTTATGAGGGAGGTGCCGTTTCTATTCTCATTTTACAGAAGAGGAGAGAGAGGCAAGCGAGGTGAAATAACTTGCCAGTAAGTGACAGAGTCAGAACTCCAACCCAGGTGGTCTGTCCCAGTGTCCATGCTGTTAACAACTGCGGAAACTGAGGCCTCCAAGGACTGGAATCCAAATGGTCTGCAAGCCACCACAGCCCCCCCTCACCCGTGAAAAGAAAGATAGAACACAGTCCCTGCCCTCAAAGAAAGACACTGTAGTTACAGAGGTAGTCCCTGCATCCAGAACACAAATAACCAACAGGACAGGAGATGCTAGGAGCCAACCGACTGGGGCCAATGGCAGTCGATGGGCCAAATGGCAGCCATGCTTGAGGATTTCAGCCACGGGGGCGCAGCCACTAAGCACACCACTAAAGAACTTCACTCCGAGGGGCGGGCGATCCAAGCACATCCCTGAAGGAGAAGTAGGAAAAGCAAAGATGAGTAAGGAGGGCTTTCAAAAGCAGAGCTTGGACAGGGAAGGCATGCCTGGCAGACTCTTCCTTCTCAAGTTTCACTGCAGAAAGGAGACGCTGAAAACATGCAAATACCTACCACAAGAACACGGTGAATTACTTTGGCTGTAATAATAGCATGCTGTCACACTGTAGCAATTAGCATGCTTTAAAGTGTCTCTCCTTTCATTAATTTCATCTGGCTTTTATGACAATCCTGAGTATCATCGGAGAAGGGAACATCACATCTTATAACCAGGATCCATCAAAGCTTAGTGTCTGACCTCACCACTGCAGAGTCATGCACAGATGACCAGATCGTGACATATTCTGAAGACTTTCTGATAAGAATCTGTGACTATGCTAGCAGCTGGAAACAAGCAAGAAGTCTGGTCTTGGTCTGAGTATCTGATGATCTAATGTTTCCCGAATTTTCCTTTCTTGAGCAAGCAGATAACTTGCAGGATCCCCCCTGGCTGAGTCTTTAAAGGTGTAATTAAGGATGAAGTGTTCTGAGTCTGGTGTGATTCACTGAGTTCTTGATTGTGCAAAGTGCTACACTGGTTGCTATGGGAGAATACTTATACCTTGGGTATGACCTTGAAGAAAATCCCATCTAATTTAGGAGACATGAGACATATAGATTAAAAATGATATAAATGGGACTGCAATGAGATTTGTAAGCGGTTTCTCATCATTCCGGCTGGCGTCTGTTCAGACGCAACTTCTCAAAGCCAGCCCCCTGGCCCTGCGCCCCCTAAAACAACAGCCTGCTGCCCTCCATGTCACCTTCGAGCTCTTTATCCTGTTCTGCGCTTGATGACATTTATCACTATCTGAAATTAAATTTTTGCTTGTTTACTCGAGACATGGTATCCACGAGGACATGGAATTTGTCTTGTTCATTGCCATATTCCTCACACCTAAAACAATGTTGGGCACATTTTAGGTGCTCATTCAATATTTGTTAAATGAATGAAGTGGATATCAACCAACTGAAATGGGCTACAATAACTTGGGTTGACGTAGTGTCTCCCAGATTTGCCTGATAAGACTCACCTAGGCAGCTGTCAAAAAAATTCCCTGGAGATTCTGATTCAGTAAGCCTGGAGTGGGGCCCAGGAATCTGTGTTTTTAAGAAGCCTCCCAGGTGATTCTTTTACTGGGGCAGATGGGAAACTCAAGATTAATGCAGTGATAGACGGTGGGTGGGAAAGAAAAGTAAAGAGATGCGAGCAGGTTCCAGAGGCCAGGGGCTGCTCACTGGAAGCATCTGGGGGAGACTGAAAGAAATACTGATGGCACAGACACTACTCCAGGTCAGTGAAATTAGAATCTTGGGGGGCAGGGCTGGACTTGGGCCAGGTTTTAAAGGGCATCAGGTGATTCTTAGGCACAGCCAATGCTGAAAACCCTGTAAGATCTGCACAAATATTTTATAAGCACTCCAAGTATGTTGCCAGGCTGTGCTCCAGTGGCTTCCAGCTTCTTCTGTCCCACAGCTGGAATCCTTGAACCCCATAGACTAGAAGGGGCTTGTGTAGGGACTTATATAATAATGCAATTTGGGGAGAACTATAGTAGCTTTTTGCTATTTTTTTAAAAAAGCATTATTTATAGCAACCACTGAATATGTAATCTCTTGTACATCATAGCCAGAGCATAAAACACCTACAAGAATATTCTGATGATAAGAAAGCCAAGGCCCCCTGGGCATAGCCTGGATGGGCAGGGGTGAGTCATGGACAGCCAAATGCTATCCTTACAATAAAATGGGGGAAAGCATAGCAGAATCCTGAGCTTCTCTCGCAGGCCTGAAGACAGGTGGCCAAGGAAAGAGAGAGAAGGAGAAGGTGTGGGAAGAGTCTACCGAAGTGTTTCTCAGCCTGGCTGCATATTATAATCACCTGGGGATTTTAAGCAGTTAATGATGCCCAGCCTCATTCTCAAAGATTCTGCTGGAATGGGTACAGGAGTGTAGCGCAGTGCGTGTGTGTGTGTGTGGAGGGGGGGCAGCAGAGTTGTTAATCAGAGGTTTAGAGAGAAAGAGGGGAGCCTGGGTGATTTAATCCCCCTAAGAAGAGCAGCTATCATTTATTGAGCAATCACTACGGGCCAGCCACTGGGATGCCTACTGTACACAGGTTATCTCATTTAATCCTCACAAAAATTTGGGAGGGAGGTACATTGGTGGCTCCATTAGCAGGCATGGAGTGAGGCCTCGGGAGGGTCACGAGGTTCCATTACTCGTGAGCGGTGGAGCCAGGACGGCAGCCCAAAGCCTGCGCTCATACCACTGTCCCATACTCTTCAACTAAGGCAGGGCCTGAAAAGAATGTCATTGAGGAGAAGGTTCTTGCGGTGGAGGTCACGTCTCGCCATTAAGTTGCTTGTTGTGCTGTGCTAGAACATCTTCCCCTTTACACTGAGCCTGCATGAAGCCTGCTCCACGACAGCTGGGGTGGGCGGTGTTTTGGGGAAAGTACCAGGTGGGGTGAGATGAGCACGAGGCAGAGGGATGTGGGAAGTGGTGAGAGCACCAATGGCTAAGAGCGATGCCCAGGGAGCTAGCTGACCAGCAGGCTGATGGACAGCTTCATAGAAAAGCAGCTACAGTGGGAAAACACAAGTCCCTTCTTGGGACAATGTAGAGAAACGGGGGTGGGGGCACTTAAAGTGGGGGAGGTAGTGGACTGTGCCCTATCAGCTGAGAGCTCAAGTCATTCCGCTTGGCTTCTACAGGACAAGGAGGTCCACAATTCTGCAGAGCTTGGGGCTCCCTGGGCTCGCATTACTACCCAGGAAGTCATTTGTGGTGCAGAGCCCTGCTCTTCCAAATTTGACTGCTTACTCTTTTATTTATCCTGGATATCTCCTTTTGCTTTCTTTTGGCTAAGAACCAACATTTCCCGAAACCTCTTCATTTCCATCACCAGCATTTTTACACAGAGAAACATAGTTACTGTTTTGTTCAGTCTCATTGTTTGCTGACAGTTAGTGTGTAGACAATAAGGAACAGAGAACAAAAGCCTGCCCTAAGGTGACGCTGCTGGGTGGCTGGCGGGGCTCATCCACCAGCTGGGGAACCCGCCTCACCACTTCCTTGCCTCCACTTTGAAGGACATGACCCAACTTCGTATCTCAGCCAAGCAGCCACACGTCACGGAACTTTAAGGTGTCTTGTAAAGATCTACAGACAGAAATGCTAACTGCTCTTACCTTTAGAAGTCCCACTGTTTACATTACAGCTCCAAATGTTTCCATCTTCTGTTTCCACTTTAAAGTCCCTGGCAAAGAAGCCTAAATGGAAGAATATGAATTTACGAACATGTCCAGGGAACTCAGAGGTTAACCGTGCAGCCTGTACTTGGGGCTTAAATTAAGACCGAGGCAGGTTGATTTGACATGGCCTCAAATTCTGTTCCTCTTATTTAGGTAGCAAGAGAATTAGGGACATGAGAATATTATGATCGAGTTTAAGCAGAAACTTACCATATTTCTTGGCTTTTAACATGTTTAAGAAAGACATGTCTCTGTTTTCCTTCTGTAAAATAGGCTTCAACAAAAATGATGAGAAGAAATTGTTGAGGGAGCCCAAAGAAACACATGTGGAGGGTATGTTCTGTTAGACCTCATGGTATTGAAAATCCAAAGGGACTTCAAAGCCAGGTCCTGTGGGCACACCCATCCATTTAGAAACAACAGGAGAGCTCCCTGTGAAAACTGAGTTTGAGCCATATCTCAGATGAGTAAACTTACTCATTCTTTATACCTGGAACTCTCTAGATTGAAAAGGAGAGAGCCCAAGAGCAGAGACCAATGTATTCATACCGAAACTCATCCAGTAAGACTCTGCGTTCTGTCTTTACCAACACCGGCTCCCTCAGACGGTGTAGGTGGAAGGACTCAAAGGGTCACCCAGCACTCAGAATGATGTTGACACTGTTTTAATCATTTAACAGGTATTTTCAGGCAGATACATTTGGTTGAGAAAGAGGAAATATATGGTACCTAACAGCATGGGTTCTGAAGCCAGATTGCCAGGTTTGAATCCCAACTCCACCACCTGGTAGCTGTGTGATTTTGGGCCGAGTGACTTCATCCTGTACCTCAGTTTCCCCATCTGTAAAATGGGGATTATAACATTTCCTATCTCACAGGGTGTGGTGAGGGTTAAATCAGGCGATGCGTTGAGAGTGCTTATAACAAGACTGGTATATATTAAGTGCTCAATAAATATTAGCTCTTACTCCACCCTGCACCCTCACACTTGGTTTTTTTTACTGGCAGTCTGGAGACTGTACTGCTGGCTACTCTCCTGCACACCGTGTGCACTTACTTCCCAGCCCCTCCAGGTAACCCCACTTCCCAGGCTATGACTGACTTAGGAACGGACAGATGGTACAATTCGGGCAGTGAGACACAATTTCCTGGGGTGCTGGTGGTGTTCTGGGAAGGTTGCTTCTCAAAAGACGTGCACTGCAAGAAAATGTTTCTTTTCTCCTTCTAATGATGCTGTTTCTGCCTGTAACAGCAGAGCCATCTTGGCACTGTAAAGGGAGCTGGAAGAAAGATGGAAACAATGATGACACTGTCAAGTTGAAGAATTAACCAACCCTGAAGCGCCTACCTCTGGACTTGTTATACAAAACAGTGAATTTTTCTTATTGCTTAAGCTATTTTGAGTAGGATTTTCTGTTATTGTACTTGAAAACACCCCACTGATTGATATTTCTGGAGCATGTATGTTCAGGATATTTGATAGGAAATACAAAGTGTAAAACCCTAAACCTGATCTTGACAGCTTTTTAGCTACTTGGGGGAGACAAGCCATGAAAAGAAAACTAATACCAAGGAGTACATTTTTTTTTTTTTTTTTTTAGATTTTATTTTACTTTTTCCTTTTTTTTCCCCAAAGCCTCCGGGTACATAGTTGTATATTCCTTGTTGTGGGTCCTTCTAGTTGTGGCATGTGGGACGATGCCTCAGCGTGGTTTGATGAGCAGTGTCATGTCCGCACGCAGGATTCGAACCAATGAAACACTGGGCCGCCTGCAGCAGAGCGCGCGAACTTAACCACTCGGCCACGGGGCCAGCCCCCCAAGCAGTAAATATTAAGTGCTTGGACCGGGATGGCCTGAGAAAGCAACACAGGTGGTCATATACGAGGAGAAGGCTCAAAGAACAAGGAAAACACAGATGGGCACAGGGCAGAGGGCACACTCTGGGTGGGGAACATTCCAGGTGCACACAAATACAGGGGGTAGTTGGGGATGGTATTAGTTTGCTAAAGCTGGCATAGCAAAATACCACAAACTGGGGAGCAGAAGCAACTGAACACTACTTCTCACAGTTCTGGAGGGTGGAAGTCCAAGATCAAGGAGGCAGGAGGCGTGATTTTGCTCTGAGGCCTCTCTCCTTGCTTTGCAGACGGCTGCCTTTCTGCTGTGTCCTTACGTGGTGTTTTTCCTGTGCACCTTGGTGTTCCTTTATGTGTCCAAATTTCTTCATTTAAAGGCACCAGATTAGGTTAGGACCCACCTTAATGGCCTCATTTTAACTTGATCACCTCTTTAAAGGCTGCATCTCCAAACAGTCACATTCGGAGGTCCTGAGGATTAGGACTCCAACTTAGGAATTTGGAGGGGGCACCATTCAGCCCATGACAGGGACAAGAAAGGAGAAGAAGAGTGAGTCAAAGGTTAGAGATGATTGGGAGATGCTGCTGGAAGGTTATGTTAGCACCAGAGAGTAGGGGCCTTGACTGCTGGGCCTACATTTCACTCTTGCAGCAGCAGGGAATTAAAAGAGACCTTTAAGAAGAACTTGGCGCAGTGTTGCAGGTTTTTATAAAGGCAAGAAGAGAGGGGAGAGAAATGGGATAGGGTTACTGTTGCACGGAGTCT